CAAGTGCCATAAAGAAATATTAGAATACTTTAATTTATATTTATTTTAATAAATTACAAACTGCAAATAATTTAAATTAAAAGAAAACATAAATCGACACTTCTAACCCATATGGGCATGCACACTCTCACCCCTATTCAGATTTCATTTGTTTTTTTGCATTGAATTACTGCTTTCTTTTTTCTTTATTGAGAAAAAGAGAAGAGCGCACTTTTTTATGTCACCCGATGCTTGTTTGAAACGTCATTGCTGATGCCAATTACTTGCCGAACTGATTCTTTTTTGACAACTATGAAAAAATATGTTTTTTCGTGTTTACCGCTGTTACTTATAAGATAAAAGAGAACAAGACAATGGAAAAAAACGAGCAGATATGTATCGTAATGATGATAAATGAAAATTTCCATTGTATAAATAGAGATAAGTAAAAACGCTTCATTATTAGTGCGAAATAATTTCCGGAGTATTGAACATCTGGACCGTGACAGCAACTATTATCGACAATGTGAACAGACAGCATGCTTCAAGACGATTCATTATCGTGAGCTCATGAAACTATCGTGATGTTTGCTTGGATTATTTGTACTCCTAGTGAAATTTTGTTTTTACACGTTTACAGTCGTTCTTTACGTCTTCGCAACAAAGAAAAAATGTTCGATCAATTCATTTCGTTTCAAACACATCAACTAAGTCTTATTCTAACTACCCTTGCAACATTGATAAGCTTCATATGTATTCTTGTTCAAATAGTAGGTTGAGCCGTTGATTCAAATCCAGATACAAGTCTCGTAGCTGTTCATGCTGCTCTCATTGAATGTCTATCTCGAATGATATCGTCTGTTGAGACCGTTCATTCAAATGATAATGAAATAGAATTTCAACTCTAGATTTTAATTCGCATTCATATAATTGTCACTGTTGCTCTTGTTATTCCATTCATTGTGATATTTTGGTAGTAGGATTGATTCGAAAAAAGTAACAAAGAAATTGAATACTGATTGTAAAAGTCATTGTCAAAAAATATTTGCGATTGTATAAATATACTTCTTATTATCACAAATCATCATTATCAGCCACAATATAACAATTTTTCGCAAACTTGCATGGCAAATTCAGTAAAATGTGCCATTCAAGGCATATTGTAACAACACTCTCTGCTCCTGCTTTGTCTTATTAATTACTTTCCTATTTGTTCCACCACTTCTAAAAGTCACTTTTTTACTTGGTCTCTCAGTTCATCTCATATATCATCGTTTCTACTAAAGAATAGTAAATTTCTTGTGTGTCTGGCTCTTTTCTTCAGCGTTATCGATACCCACACCTATTTAAATGTGAAAGTTGTCATGCATTTACGTGTCAATAAATCAAATATGCTGCCGACACATAAATCTTATACGTATGTACTTGTCATCCTTTTTCAAGACATTCACCATTGACCGCATGACCTATGTATTTTCAAAGCAACAAATGACTGGCCTCAATGTTCGCAATTATGAAGAAAGTTATTTGTGTAGTGCCAGAAGAATCAAGATGCGAAACATGATAGCTCTATCCTACTCGGAACCAGAGGTCTAGCCAAGTCGATCATTGTTCGTGAAGTCTAAAATAGATAAACATATTTATATGTTTGTTATGTGCCAGTGAAGTAAACCAGAAATGATTCACTTCTCGCGCTATACACGTCAATATTTATTTGTAATTGTGTTGTGCAAAACGAAACGTACTTTGGCCGACAATTGTTGTCCTTTCCTTCATAATATTGACATTTTCTATCTTATCAAGAATTCTTGTTATCGAAGCGAAAAACAGTAAATAGATGTGTATATGCTTTTGCGTGTTTTGTTCTCTTCTCAACAATTAAAGTGAGCAAACGCAGAATTTTTTGTTATTTCACACCACTTTCTCAAACGAAACACACGACATCAAATCGCGTACGTATGGTAGAAGGATGTGAAATAAGTTGTTTTTTTTATCATGAAGACAAAATCGTTCTACTCAGTTGCTTTTCTGTGTAAGCGAGCAGATCAATTTTCTCGTACATTCAAGAGATCGTCCTTGTTATTATTATCAAAAAACTTTCTAGTTTTCCAAATAAATCTCAAAGAAGAAAGACGAGCAGGAGAAATTGAAGTAGACAGTGATGTAACCATGTCGAGAGCATTACATTCCCTTCTCACCGCAGCAACTTTCGACGGAAATGAGATCGTTTCGATTCCATTCAAAAAAAACACAAGTTGATCTCATTTCTAGTTTTTAACACACTGAAGAAGCATGAATTGCCTTAATATTGGTGGGAACTATGTCAATAGAACTCGGAAGAATTCGGCCAAACTTCAAACGGATAGAATTCAAACTACCCGAATCGTATAGATTCAAGTTCGAATGTCCGCTGGAGTCCATGATATTTCTGTTCCAAAAAAAATTAGAATTTAAAAAGATTCCACAACTTCGCCAGAGTAAGTGTAAGGTCGTATCTGATACCTAGGAGTCTGATCATATTCTGTCTTTACATAAGAAGTAGTTTACAATAAATGCGTTCAATAGATTTTCTCAGTCTACTGCACTGTTTTTGCATGATTCTGCATATGCTTAAAATCAAAAAGTTTTCCATTATTCAACTGAGCTTGTCATAATCTAATTTAGATGGAGGCGTAAAAATGTGAAACCTCACATCCATTAAGTTACATTGTAGCAAACGTGATCATCTGTGCGAACAGATCCCTCAAGATTTTTGCCTTGATTATTTTGTTGTTTAAGACAGTTAAAGTTTCAACAGATGATGCAAGCGTCAGTGCGTGCATTTCATAAGTTCTATGTTGATTGCTTGGCATCCTAATTGTTTTTAAAAAAATCCGCTGGAGTATTATTAGTAAACAAAATTTTCCAACATGCATCTTTTTATGTGAATCATTCAATTATGTGCAAAAAGAAATTAAAAATCCTACAAATAAAATAGAACCAAAAATGTGAAAAATATTTCTACGACTTTTTCATTATTTGTAGCATGATGTTTTACATCAATTAAATCGAAAATTGTTCTTTTTCATTGAGTTTCTTGAGTCCTATCGATTGTTGAATAAAAAGTTTTCTTAACATTGACATAGAGATAAACAGTTTCAATATGCGAATTGCACTGAAAAGTTTTTGAAGTTTTTGTGATAGATTTGCTAAAACTTAATGATAACTTGCCCTCCTGGCATTTCGGAAGAACGACTCATTGGAGTGACTTGTAATTTTCAGCATAGATAGACTTCGAGTGATAAATAGAAAGTTGTGTTAGGCATCCTTTTCTATGGAAGAAAATGATTTATCTCAAAACCTTACGATAAGCTTGCTCAAATAAGCGCAAAGAATCAGAACTAAATGTAGACTGTAGTGCTTAAGATATCGAGCTATTAGATAATATGACTCGAAGAGTTACTGGTAAGCATCATTTTCTATTCACTATCAGATCGGATCCAAGCAGTTTTTTTTATATGTACAGAACAAGTGTCAGAAAAGATTTCTAAAACACCATGATGTTTTTTTTTGAATAGAGTCTTCGTATGGTGAGCAGTTATATGCTACAATGAGGATGTCTTTTAAGAGCTGTAGTAGATTCGATCAACTGCCTGACGCAATTACATACCGAACAGGCTGAGTGTAAGCGTCCGAACGAAAAATTTTGTTTGCAGATATTAACTATACTATCCAGGTAACCTTTTTTCGACCTCGAACGCGTCCCTAAGCGTCTGTAACTTATGTAACATTTTCGAGTCTCTGAACGTGTTTACAGTGGGCAAACGCGTCTTTCCTCGCTCTAATGCTAATAGTATCACAATTCATTTATGTTAAAAAACGCGTTTGAATATGTCCAAAATGCAACAATATCAGGCGTGTGAACGCATTCAAAAACAAAAACGTGTGCAAACTCGTCTGTCTTGCAAACAGATTACGACGCGTTTATTTTTCGTCCCCAAAAAATTAAAAAATAACCATCACTCTGTGTCAGAATCGAATCAATACACCATAGTGAGTTATGATATAACACTCAAATTCTATAAGCAATAGAGTAGTAATTTTTCCAATCACAGCTTGAACGAAGATTTGAACGCACTACCAGTCGATTACGAACCGAACACAAATAGCTCTGAGCTAAACATAGCTCGAATTTGTTTCTATGTTCATTAATCGCATCATTAGCTCGTATAATACTACTTTTTTCAACTTTGCAGATAGAGATGTTATACTTTTACTTCATGAAATAAATATAAATAATATATTTATTGAAAAAAGTCAAGATAAATATATTCTTGATATTTAGAAAATAATTTAAATAAAGAAATAAATTTTTTATATTAGAAAAAAATAAAAATTACAGAATAAAAAAATCTCGTTTTGTGATGAATAAATATATAAATATGTGCTATAAAGGCATTAATTTACATTTTTTTTTCTTACAATTAGCATTTCAATATCAAATGTTAATAAAAAGTGAAGATGCTCGAAGAAAAAATATATGCAAATATACTTGTCAACATAATTTTTTTAGATATCTGGAAGAAAATAAAATATTAAGTTTTTATTTAAAAATAAATCGTCATTTTCATTTAGCTTTCTTTATTCTTATGAATAAAATATTCATTTATCTTTTTCTTAGAAGTATAAGCTTTAAAAAATTGTTTATCTTTATGTTTATAAGTAGTAAAATTCTATAATGTATTTATCTTTATTACATGAATCTAAGTTTCATTCCAAGTCATTTTATTATAGAGCACAAAAAAGGTGAGTCAATAATTCTGTTTGAAAAAGTGCTTGTAAAATTTCGATAAAATGAAATATATAACATTGATTCATTGTTGGGTTAAAAATATTTAAATAATATTTTTGTTTTTATGTAATATTTTCTTGATGAAACCGAGTGAATTGATGTAAAAACAAAAAAAAATAAGTTTTTGCATGTTTCTAGTGAGAAATACCAAACAACACGATTTTGAAACGACAACAATAAGACATTCAACATGGCAGAATCGGTGCGAGACACAGTAATCTGAAACTACTTTTTTTATTTATATTGACACATGCTTTTGATAGAGAGGCAGCTTGGAAAAGCCAATGTCAAAACAATCTGTGGTGAGTGCAGTATGGATCCCTATCGTACCACAACAACACGACTCGTCGTCTGGTTATGATCGTCTACATCCTACTACGCCACAGTTATATAATGTGACATCGAGTCATACTCCACTCGACAATACTTATAGCAAGAAGCTTATCAACGATAAAGTGCAAGTAGAGGTAAGGAGTTTTAGTAACAGATATTAATCTTTTCGAAACTACGCAATATTAATTCGACCTTTGACATAATCGTAGTATATGGGTAACTTCCGCTTCTATTATAGAAAGCCTATAGCGTCAAAAAAAAACGGAAGACTTTTGGAAACAAGTGTTGATCTGCTCTAGTTTGAAAAAATCAATTAGAATTCCAACAGGATGTGAATGAAGAGAAGACTCATACCCAAATAATAAGTTTTCCAAAGTAACTCAAAGAGAAAACAATCAATTAAGAGGTTTTTAAATATAAAATTGACTCACCTTACAATTTGATGGTGACAGGTCATGCTCTTTGTAGAATAGTGATGAGTTCATTTTAAATAGTAGAGACATGAATGGAGTATGCGTTTTCTACATAATACATATATTAAACAAGATTCTCAACTCGTTTAAATTGAAAGTTTTTTCAAAATTGTACATGTTTTATTTCTAGACCAATGCAAATCGATTCAATTCAATTTGTCATAAATGCAAAAGTCATATTGATGGTAGTCATCGATCCCAAATCACATTTAACAACCGTATATATCATCTTAATTGTTTTAAATGTGCTATTTGTCATAAAAATCTGAGTGATTCACCGAGAAACCAATTTCCAATCTATGATGATGGTGAACCTTTATGTTCACGCTGCGAATTAACAACTGCAAAAACTTGCACTGTCTGTGGAACACGTATTGTTAGTGGAGGATTGATTAATTTCAATGGCATGAGTTATCATGCAGGTTGCTTTCGTTGTGGTCAATGTCATCAGCCATTAGCACATGAGAAAAATTCGTACACACAAAATATGAAACCTTGTTGTATTCAATGTTACAAAAATCATTTTGCATCACGATGTGCAAAATGTTCCCATCCGATTTTTGTTGGAGGATCGATTAATTACAATGGAAAGAAATATCATCAAGATTGTTTTCATTGTGGACAATGTCATCAAGTAGTGACTGATTCAGAATATTATACACATCTTGGCGAACCTTGTTGTATAAAGTGTTTCAATGAACGCATTGCATCCCGATGTTCACAATGTTTTAAAATAATTTCCAGTGGAAAATCAATTACTTGTGATGGAAAACACTATCATCCAGATTGTTTTTGCTGTGGTCAATGTCATAAAATGTTGATCAATGAAAAAGATTTGTTCAAGCATAACGAGAAGCCCTGTTGCATCAAATGTCACGAGGAAGTATTTGCACCACGATGTTCAAAATGTTCAAGACCCATAACCGATACCAAGTATACGACATTTCACAACCAAAGTTTCCACGTTAATTGTTTCACCTGTTGGAAATGTCATCGTGTAATTCATGGCACAGAGAATTTTTATAACGATAGAATCGGCTATTTATGTTCTATGTGTGGTAAATGATTTAACTATTGAAGATAGATTCTTCAAGATTTGACAACGTTACTTTTGTTTTTTGTTTCGAATCGAGTTCTTATTCTAAATTTATTTTTCAAAAAAAAACAATAATCTTAATCACTTTAATTTCACTTATTCACGATCAATAAATCCATGATAAAATATATTTTAAGAACTTTTCACAACTCTCCAAGCTCTCTCTAGTTCTAGCGGTCATATGACCAAATTGTAGGCATGTGTGAATCAAAAACTGAAAGATATGATTGAAATGAAAAAGATATGACTATCACATAAGCATTAAGAAATGAGATAAGGGTGTAGGTGTGGGTGTGGCTATCGCGTCATCTACACCCACACCCTTCTCTCTCTCTCTCTCTGATCTAGCTATGTACACGTTCTTTTTCATTTAACTATATAAGAAAAGAGAACATGTGCAAGCACACACATATATCATAAAGAGAAGGAGGACCAGTAACATGTATATAAAGTATAGAACAGCTATGAATATCATTTTTTTTAAAATTTTACAAATCAATACAAAATGCAAGCTTTCGATCTTTCACAAAAATCATCATCAGGTATTATGACTTACGAATAGATTTTTCTCAACTATTTATTTCTTCTATCCTTCCATCTCAGAAGCACACGAGTATATTTTTCTAATTTTGTCCTTGTTGACCTTTCAATATCAACATCGATGCCTTCGTTTTGTTCTTGATAGTATAAGATCGAGTTTACTTTATAATCTATGGTCTCTGTTTTTATCCATGATATACCACGTCCTATACAAAAAAGATCAATGAAAGCTGGAATAGATCTCAAAAGATTTGCCGTATTTTTGTACTCTGAAATACAGAGTTTGGCATTTGAGTACTTAGTAGTTTTGGGGAAATTACTTTGTCTTCCATTGAAAATGCGGTATCTATGGTGTAGATACGTGAAGATATTAAATCAAAAAATAAAATTTTGACTGGTGTCATGATTCATGGAGAGAGGGTGATATATGATCTCTTATCACTTTGTAGGTTGATATGAAGTGATTGGTCTCGTATTTAATATTGCATATTCAATATTAAAATGTCGATCTTGGTGTATATTTTCCATCCATATATAATAGTCTCCAATTGAGAATAAAAAAGCAGAGCAAATCTGCTCAACATCATATAAGTCCTGTAAGAGGGTTACCAAAGTGACCAACAGTGTATGCTTCATATCGCCTCGAAGGCCAACTTTTTTTTCAAATATTTTTTTACCATTTTGTAGAGAATCAAAAGTTACATAACATATAAAAAATTCAGATTGGTCCCGTTTGTTTTCGAAAAATGGCAGCCGATATACTGTAAAAAACTGGTACATTTTAATTGAAAAAAAAAATGACCAATCCCGAACAGTATTTGGCATATAACTCTCGATTAGTCCATTGAAACATAACACATAAATAGCTCATTTTGTTCAGCATTTAATGCTCTATTTTTTAGTATATTACGGTAGATATTTCGTTAATTTTTTGTTATCTTAAAAAGTCCACCTTTATAGAGATGATTTTTGATGGTATTTTCCATATATTCTCGTGTGGGCACCAAAAGTCGCATCGGACTAACTTCTGACCAGTTCATCCAAATGCGCTAAAACTTTGGATTTAGGGGTTTTAGATGATGCTGATTAAGACGAGAACATCAAATCAAAATTTTAAATTTTGTCTAGTGCCTCGGTTTCTTGGTCCCCTCATGGACTCTCTCTTAAATTGTTTTGCTTTTCTTTTTTTCCCATTTCAGAAAGCGATGATAACTAGTGAAAGTACGACGCTGGTATATGGCGGTTCTTCCTCAACTTGCTTGTCTGGTGTTAGTGCCAGTTAAAGGATCATGATCAATTGAGAAGAACATATTAATCAGTAGAAACTGAATAATTAACTATTTTTCATTTTTTCGTGTGCTCTCATGGGTGCGTTTGAATTTCATGTCACGAGAGAAACAATGTGTAACACACCTTTTTTCAAACAAATACAGTACAAGACATGATTGAATTGCACAAGAGATAGATTTACCAGTTGTAAAAAAAAATGAAAATAAATATGTGCGTTCGTTTATCCTTTAAACAATAGTATGCAAATACAGAAGAATATAAGAAACTTATAAGAACTATCGGTGTTGAAGACTACGAAATGTGGACAATACTAATGCCTTCAGACTTCATATCTTTGAAATCATTGCGTATTGATTCATGTACTCAGAGATAGAAACTATAAAGTTTTAAAGATTGAGGCGGTTTCACGAGTATTGATATAGGTTTTTCTCTATGAACTAAATTTTCATATATAAAAGATTTTATAAACAAAAATGTAACTCATATAAGATGCTTAAAATTTAATAAAAAACTTTCAAATGTTTTTATAAAAGATGAATATGATAAAGTGCAAAAGATCCATAATATTAGAATGTACAGAAAATTTTCTTAGGTACAAGCAGTAACTGTTCTAATGTCATGTCTGTGTAGGACAAGTCATTCGTTTTCATTTGTTAATTTGTCGATCGATTAGCAACTTGTTCAGGTGATGCTGCTCCTTGATTATTCGATTTATTTTCAGGATAAGCACTAGTATCGGCTTCAATAGGTTCTGTTGCTTTTTTTTGTGCTCCTTGATTTTGTCCCGCTCCTGTTACTTTATCTGGTATTGGAATACTATGATGTCGATGATCGGTTTGTGCATCTGTACGAGCTGCTTCAGGATCTGTTGAAGGGCGAGAAGTTGTAGCTGTATTTGAATTGTCTGCTGACATGATTTTGCGTTTTGTTTTTAAACAATGTGTAAGTATAATATGCGACTCTAAGAAATGAAAAATGAATGTGAGTACGAATAATAAAATTTATTAATTTTCTTTTTCTTTTCACAAGAAACAGAACAGAGTAAAAAAGAAAGAAAGAAAGAAAGAACTGATTCATTCTCATAATGAGAAACAAAAAGAAAACGTACTCACTGACATTTATCGAAATCTTACACTATGTGTCGACGAGAGACCTCTACATCATTGAATCTTATATCCATTGTATTCCTTTTTTTTTGTACGTTGTCGATCGATTTATTTCCATTTGGACAGATTTCTATTGTCTTCAACACTATTCATGCCATAGTAATCAATCTCAACCACTAGAATGAGGAATAAGTGTAGTTGCATTTGTCGGACCCCAAAGCCAAAACAAAAGATTTTTCTCCCTCCCACTTCAGTATATTAGCCCTGGTTACAGAGGATCATACTCACTTATAGATAATGTTCCCTCGATCTTCAAGAGAATTTTGATGAAAATAAGAAATACCTTCATATCCATGTGGAGCGCTGAAGTACGTATATAGCAACGAAATGATCCTCATCTATTCTACAGATCATAAAAAATATGTTAAGATGATATTATGGATTTCTTTACCATAGAATTCCTAGTTTTGTGCCCCAGGCTGCTGGACTTTTAAACGATTTGGAGTTTTTTATCGATTTCAATTGCGAAGACCAAAATATCTTTGTTCTTTCTCGTGATGCGACATTTGTTGGTATGGTATTCTGATATAAGTTCCACATTTTGGTTCCATCGGGGTATGAATAGGGATGTATAGTGTGGGCGTGTGTCTTTCCTTCAGTAGATCGTCGTTAAGATCACTCAATAGTAAGCAAAGACTTTGAATAGGAGGTGTTCGATATTATTGATTTACACCAGCTATCTCTATTGTTTTATACTGTAGATGGCTCTTGGATCTTCGTCTTTTTGTAGTTTTTACATGGTCATACTACTACAAGACTGGTCTACTATTTTCATAAAAATAAAATAAACCAACACATACTGCTTTTCGAAATATTGTTGACAGTTCAATAGACTGTTGCTTTTTCTTTTTTTTGTAGAAAATATTATATGATCCCATTTCAAACAATTATTTCGATAATCTTAGACATGAGTAAAATTGCTTATTTCCAGCTCTGAAAGATATTCAAAAGTTGGAACTATGTTGATGATTGCTGACAAACGACATCTGCTGCATGTGTTCTTTTCATGGATACTTTCTTTCAACCATTACACTCTGATCATCAATTTGAACGTTTATCTTATTTATTTGTTTGTTTGTCTGTGCTTGGAAGTCAATCTCTTTAAAAAACAAATTCATAGTGTTATTTCTCTGAACATGCGAACAACTAAGCAAAAACTTCGTGATGATGATGATGATGATGATTGATAAAGATTTGAACAGTGATGTAAATATGAACAATCCCATTCATATCTAGTCATGGTCAGCGTATTCTAAATTGAAGGTTAAGAATAGGGAAGTAGAAAAACAATACTATTGAAATCATAGCTAAAAGCTAATAATCTCATTCCAAGATAATTCATATAATTTGTAATCTCACTGATGAATATTTTCAGCATTATAGAGGAGAATGTAGACTTTATTAAAGTAATTTGACATTGTCGAACTATATATAGCTCGTTTTACATACAAAATGAAGTATAATCTCTTGTTTTTTTGCTCAGTTCTGTTCGTTCTTATCTGTTACATTGTGATAGAGCGTCTTCAAAACGCAAGAAAGATTTTCACGTGTCTAATGTTGTTTGACGACGATGTTCGTGCCCAATCTAAGTATTTTATACTATCGTTTATCATCAGTAGTATATTCATATATAGATCTTGGGACGAATCCATCGTCAGATGTTCCCATATCATTATTGATAATCATCTCAATTGCTTTTAACAGTTTTATCTTCTTTTTTCTTCCATCGTCTATTACACCATTAATCAAAAGTTATATTGTATCGACTATTCATGCCTGTGTATCCGTTCTTGCTGTATGTATATTCTATCTATATTCGACAGTTAATTTGACACAAGTCAATCGAATACTCGGTGGTGGTATAAAAGGTACGAATGATGAAATGATAACATATAGTGTATGTTATTCAGCTGGTTATTTTATCTATGACATAATCATTATGTTATTATTTAAATCGATTCGAAGTTCATCAGCATTAGTTCATCATGTACTTCTTACAGCTGGAACGACATCAGGTTAGTAATATAAATTTCATGAAATACGACTGTTAATGAGTATTGTGGTATATAATGAGTATATTGAATCTATGTCCTTCTTCACAGATTGTGTGGCAGATTTTTTGATATGCTGCTCTTTTGATCCTATCACGGATGTTGATCAATATAGAAAGAATCTTTGTGTACGATTAAAACTGATCTATCACATTTCAAAGTACAATTCCTTTAGAATTGCGATGAAAAATTGTTAAGACAAGCTCAAAAACAAAATCTGAATTTCGTTCATACAGAAATGTATAAGATAGATTCGCCATTTTTCTCATTCGTTTCTGACTGAAAGTAACTGTGAAATAAATTTGAGACTCAATCAGAAGATTATGGAAGAATAATCGAAAAAGTTAGATGTGCAATTTAATTTGGTCAGGGGAATTTATGAGAAAAAAGTTTCAAAATCAAATTCCAAATACAATTCAACTGGACATTGTATTTTATCAAAGGAAAGTAGTGAACTCAGATTTCTAGACATTTACAAATTCTACAAGATTTGTTTTTTTCATATTTTAGATGAAAATCACATTTATTCATGAGTTAGTAGTCTTGAGAGCGCTATCACTAGTTCATTTTTCATAAATTTTAAGAGCTCAATATGTTCGTGATTTCAAGTGAAACGAAAGAAAATTTGACTCTTCATTTTGTCTGCAGTATTGTTTTGTGATAGGACTGTATACACGTGTTGGTCATGCATGTCAATTTCTTCTTCTGGCTGAAGAACTCTCGACTATTCCACTCAATCTTAAGATTATCTTTTCTCAACAAGTTCGTTTGCATACTTTATTGACTCAATTATTTGCAATTACATTCATTTTGTGTCGTCTTATTTATGGAACTATCATTTTGTGGTATTCATTTAAAGCTATACCAATATTCATTCAGATGGCTTCAAATGTTCATGATACAATAAGTATTGCGATTGTTTTAATACAAGCTTTTATGTTTCTTGTAACAAGAGTACTTAATATCTATTGGACAATATTAATTTTGCGTAAAATACGGTCTATGATGCAAAGCAATAAAGAACAAATCAAGAAGATTCATTAATGTATCATTTTTGTGAAATATTATTGTTAATTAATGTTGAAGTATACAGCGTGAGAGACATGAATCCTATAGATCGTGACGAACATCTTGACATGTAACTCTATTGACATTGTTATGAATTATAATAAATGTGACAAGAGTTTTCATACGATTAAAGTGGCTTCATTATGTTTTATATGTTAATCTAGAAGAGATCGTACTGAAATCTTTCTTAAAATCTTGTACATTGTAACTATCATTTGTATTTAGTTCGATTTCTTTAATAATCATGACAAAGTGACGAATTTTTACTTTGTTGAAAATACATAACTTTCAAGAGAGTACCAATTTTTACTCAATTTTAAGCTAGAAAATGGTGAGCATATTCAATGACTCGTATTCACTTGTGGCGCCACCATTATTCGTAAGAATCGTATAGAATTTTGTTGGTGGATTATATGATTTGAGAAGTGCAAGAACAACGATAATAATATTCGCATTCAAACAGCTGCATTTCAATGTTCGTTCGTGTCAAGAAGGTATGTGACTTTTATTGCGAATAATTTAGCTTGAATTTATCTAACTGTGCATAAAATTGAGCAAATCGATCAGAGTGAGAAAAATTTTTCGTCTTTTTCAGTGTTAGTTTTATGTATATCATCTCGAAAAAAAATTGACGAAATGTGATAATGAAAAGAAGACAATTGCTAGATGTTTCAGGATGATATTTAATTAGTATTGTCATTCTAATAATATAAAAAGATGATATGCTAGTTCAGTAAAAAAAAGTATCATAAATTTGTCGATGACTTGTGTCAAATAGGATTTAGATTTTTATTCCCTGGCAATTGACTTCATACATGCTGTAGTAAGCGATAAAATTACCTCTAATCAGAAAGGAAACTGAGTCATTGTATCCTTGATGAAACTGAATAGGCAATATTTTGAAGGTGTTTTACATCAATAGAATAAATGCTATGAGTTTATACTTGCCAATTCTCTTTTCTGTTCTTTTACTAGAATTGATTTTTTACAAGGACATAACTATTCATCTTTTTCTTTCATTCCTTTTTCTTATCATAGTATTCGTTTCTTTGCTTCATGTTTTGTACTCCACGTGATAATATGCACTCTAAAACATTAGACGCTACTAAAGAAAGAACGTGTTTATGACAATTAACATCTGTAAATACAAACGCACGTTTATTACGCATATTAATTTATAAAACGGACGAATACTCTCAATAACTTCACTAAATATAATATTATCTAGATACAAAAATATCTTTATCCTAATTAATGGCACGTCGAATACGTCGTAGTTCAATGGAACGTTTAAAACTTTACGACTTAGATAATTTAAAATTTTCATCATCAAATCGTGAATTACCTCCACCTTTACCACCTCCACGTAAATATCGACGCCATCCACCAGCAAGTCAAACATTCGAACATTATCGTTTTCTTTGTAATATGAAACGTCATAGTACAGATCCAATTTATGCTGCTACGCCAATGTTTACAATAATACCACAATCAAGACGAGTAAAACATCCTCGACGTTTACTTGGTTCTCGTTTGCCTTCAGATATTATTAAACCTATATCAACTACATCTACATCTCCAGAACCAGAAAATGCTGAAATCAATAATGATACAAAAGAAGAAGAAATTAGTGATGATGATGATGATGATTATCAACAAAATAGAAATGATGACAATAATAATAAACGTGATAATGATGATGATAATAGAAATTCATCAAGTAGTAGTGATAATGACGAGGGCATTGATGATATTATTAATAATGACGATGATAAGCTCGATGATGATGATGATAATGATAAAAAAGGACTGGTTGAAGTACTACTCAACAAATGAAAAAAAAAAGTCATAATTTTTTTTCTTGTAATTAATATTTAATGTATTATTATCAATTATCTTTTTTTTTCATAAAATTCAGCAATTTAATTTTTTACATATATTCTATTTGCATTAGTGAGAAACTTCGATGCTTCTACGTATTTATTTTTTTTCAATCATAAGGACATACTTTTGAAAATAATTAAATATAAAAGAATTTATCTTTTGATATAATTCTAAATTAAGTGTAAATGTCTTCATCGACTATTGCATAGAAAAACGTAATAGTCTATGGAAAATGTCATGTCGATTTGCTTTCACATATGGAAGGTTGATTAAAGGCGAAACATTTCTATGAAATAATCTTTTTGAGTTATATAATTAATACCATTTTCTTTAAATATGATGTTTTTTATAGATATTTTATTGATTAATGCTTTCAATTGAAAATTATGCTATTGAAAGCAACGATTACTAGTCATATTTATTTCAGATTATGAAATCTCTACTAAATTCAGTTATAGAATACAGAATTCAACTTTGTTGATTTTTTATAAACTTTGTGACTGACTCGAAACTCATATAAATTTCTTATTCCATTTATTTTGAACGACATTTGAACAATTATTGCAATTCAAAGCTCACTAATAAAGCTACATAAATCAAGTTTGGATCTAATATTCAATAAGAAATATAAATCGTCATTGTAAGGCTTTTATTTTTTCTTTTTAGTCAGAAAACCATTCTATTAACGTATGATTGAATGTTTTAAAATGGTTTATTATGAACAGATCAGCTTGATATTTTTCTTCTCTTTGTTAGCATAAAAATGAGTAATGGAACACGCAATAGTAAAACGTAAGCGCTATTAGCAAGCAAAATTTAGTACAACTATATAACATCCCAAGATTTTCTATGTTTTTATGTAGAGATCATAACCAAGGATAAACTGCAGAAACTTCAGTCTTTGGACTATAACTTTTGTGAAACACAATCTTAAAGGAGTGTTAGATTATAAGATAGAAATTGAAATTCCTCCCCTGCTCTAGACGTGACATGCATAATTATAGAAACGTCACTGACTGTATATCAATAATAATATTTCATTTTAATATATAACTTACTCTCTTATTGTATTTCTCAAGGACTAATTAAAAGAATAAAAGAAGAAGTATGTCCTAAAATCAATAGAATACAACAATCTCCCTGTGATTAACAGCAATGATTACATCGTGAATTAATTGAATGAAAAGTTTCTTTGTTAAGGACTAAACTATTATTTCTACTCCAATGTAACAATAATTCATAAGATTAAGCAAAAAGAAATCTCATCAATCAAATGAATTATTGTTGTATTTGTAGAAGAAAGAGTAATTTGAACATATAATTGATTATATCGGTAAAATAAAATATAACATTTGTCTTATGAAAGATAAATATGCATAGACTGAAAAATACTGTTTCACATAGTAAAATGATAATGCTCGATTGGTTTTTTGATTGATTTCTAGATATAAAAACATTGGCGACTAATTATACATCTGTTTAGATAGATTTGTTTGGAAACACGATAACGAAGAAGTACATAAAAACATTCAGTCTACTATAAATTATTTGACTTTTGTTTTATTAGCTCCGACCAATGATGTGTTTTTCTATTACAAAAAAAAAACATTAATTATATGACTAAATCAAATAATATTTTAGCAATTTAATTTTATGTATGAACTCCAAAAAAACCTTTTTTTTTGTTGAAACGAAAAAGATTAAGAGAAAATAATGTTAAATGATTTCGATTTGTTTTCATACATAATCCTTCACTTGTTATTAAAACACCTAAAATATGAACAGCATGATCGATAGTTTATTTTTATATTTTAGTCTCGCAGAGTTATTATAAATTCGACCTTTAAAGACAATTTTCATACAATCAACTTTAGATGATTGTTATGGATAAAAAAAACAAGAAAGAAGTATTAAATTTTATTAGAAAGTGGATTAGTTTTTACAAAGATCTTTGATGAATAAGATTTTCTAAATAGTCAATGTAAATTATCTTGTTTAATGATGCTTACGAATAGTTATTTGCTAAAATACTTTTTTTTTTTATATGTAAACTTCCTTGACTGAATTGAAAAAACTCATTCGCAATGTTAAGAAATTTTTTTTTTGACCTTTTTCAAATAGTAATATTTATAATCTAAAATTTAAAAATAATGTACTGCTTCTTTGTTTCTTAAATTGAATTTGGGCATCAAAAAAAAAATCGATTAATTTCTGCCATTATGTTTTGATTACAGATCAAGACCAATAAATGATATTTGATGGGAATGTTCTTTTCTTATAACCGTAAAAATGTGTATTTAATTGATTTGACATTTATATTTTATAGATGTAAAAGAATACTTTTCTATGTGTAGAGAAATATTATATAGATATTTATAAATTCATTGATTTTCATTATACTTTTCTATTCATACAGATAAATAGGTAATCATTTCTATTAGTAGATTATTAGCTAACTTAGTACTATCGAACGTTTTTTTTGTACATGCTGACTTGTGTATTATCAAATTACATCTTAATTTACTTTTTTGACATTATAAACAATAATTATTCATTCGATTGAATAGGAATATGAAAATAATTGTTTACATGTTTTTTTTTCTTATTAGTTTATTTAATTATATGAAAAAAAAAATTTCTTTAGATTGAAGATTACTGTGTGATTATTTAATAACAATCAATATGATATAAAGTTCTAGAATATGATGTCTTTCTACATATAGTTTGTCCTATAAAACATTTTTTGTCCTTGAAGGATATATTTATATAGAGAAAGCAAAACGAGTTGGATGTCGTTCTGTTAATATGTATTTTCTCTGATAATATGGACGAATAAAGTCATACTAACATGATTTGTTGTTTTCCTCTTTATTTTGTTATTGTTATGATGGTTCTTGTATTATTCGTATATATATCAATTATCTCAATACAAAATTTTCAATCAAAAGAATGAATAATAATATTAGAAGAAAAAAAAAAAAGCCTACGCTTGTATGAATTTACTAATCAATCTCTTTATAATAAACGAGAAACAAACAATGAATCATAGCCATTACGGTCAAAGAGTAATATATTCTATTATCATATCCTTTTGCGCATACCATGTCAAACAATTGAAGAGAAATAATCCGGATTGTATAAGGAAACGAATATAGGTCTCTCTCCCTATATATTATATCTCTATGTACGTAACTATGCATAATTATGTGTTCTGTTTCTTTCTTTACTAAGCGACATCCCACCCATTATGGTTCTCAGTAGTATAACTCAGATAACGGGATAGACAACATCAGTAATAGATTTGTATTCTTTTCTTCTTCTTTTCATATATCGTCAATGCACATAGACCTATATACGTACTATATAGCAGACAGACCTACGCATATAACTCGATTCTTCGATATAATGTATGGTAACAAACTTTAATCTTATCTCAGCAATTTCCATCGTCTCATCTGTATAAAACATTAGTGGGTTCAGGTAGGTAAATAGAAAGACATATGATAATGATATTCATATTAATCTTTTATATCTTTATATAGAATAATGAAAATAAAATTTATTCAATGACAAGTACTAAAAAATCTTCTGACGATACATCAGCATCGTCTTCATCCACAACGACAAAGCTTAGTACAACAGGAAGAAATTGTACAACAATTCCTGCACCACCATCACGTCTTCTTGATATTAAAGATTTATTTTCTAATCCATTGGATTTAAATAATAAACCTAATTTAGAAAAACTTAAACAACATATTATACTTGAAGGTCGTCTTACTGAAAAGGCTGCACTCCGAATTATTGAAACCGGTAAATATCTTGTAATACTGAATTTTTTTTTTTTGTTTTAATTACTTCCTAATATCTTTAAAATAGTCAATTATTTTCAACATATCACTCGTGTTGATATTATTTTCCTTTATTTATCTTTCATTTTTATACCAGAGACAAGATAAAAACTTATCAGTTTTATGTATTAAAGCTTTCAGACCTATATAGATATATGCAAAAATAATCTATGTAATTCTCAAATGCTTACTATTACATTGTCAGAAGAAGAATCCATTGTGATAAGTCAAACGTTCTGACGTCAATGTCAAAACATTTGTCATCAAGTTATTCTTATTTTGAAAAAAAACCCACATAAAAGCACTATTATTCAATATTATGAAGATATCTTAAAATCTTCAACAGATGAGAGTAAGATACTAATAAAATTAGTTTAAAATTTGATTGTATTTTATTCATGAAATATCATATTTATTGTTCAAAATAAACTTCATTGGTTTATATAGGTGCTGCGATATTACGTGAAGAACCAACATTATTAAATCTTGATGCACCATTAACTATTTGTGGTGATATTCATGGACAATTCTATGATTTATTGAAGTTAGTGAAGATTATTTTAGATATGATTATCAAATGCGTCTTTTTTTCTTTCTACTATTAGATTATTTGAAGTCGGTGGCCCTCCAGCTACAACTCGTTATTTATTTCTTGGTGATTATGTTGATCGAGGCTATTTTGGAATAGAATGGTATTGAGATTGTTTTTCTTTCATTTTCATTTGAAGATGATTTTTTTTTTTTTGTTGATTATTTAGTGTACTTTATTTATGGGCATTGAAAATTCATTATCCTAAAACATTCTTTTTACTTCGAGGAAATCATGAATGTCGACATTTGACTGATTATTTTACGTAAGTAAAAAAACTTTTTTTTTTTTTTGAATAATTAAAACAAATTTTTATTTAGTTTCCGACAAGAATGTCTTATAAAATATACAGAAAAAATTTATGACACTTGTATGATAGCATTTGATTGTCTTCCATTGGCTGCTACTATGAATAATCAATTTTTATGTGTACATGGTGGTCTTTCACCAGAAATTCATACATTAGATGATATTAAACAGGTAAAATTTTAATACAATTACTCAAGTAGAAAAGATTCAACTAAAACTAAAGTGTCATGTAATTATCCGCTACAGATCATGACAAACATGACCATGGAAATGTCACAGAAGGTGACAGATGTGTTAGAAATGGCCCGTCATAGACATAGTTGACATCTTAGCAACGGCACATCATACATATGATAGATATTCCTAGTAACGTCTTTTCTTCATTATAGATCGTGATAGATACCTTGGTAACACTTGCCTTTTTCATATCACAAATTATAACAGACGTTATTTGATATATGATTGAAGACTGTATATGAATTATATTTCTAAATGAAGAAATATGTCTCATATTGTGTTAAGAACTTGTCTTTTTTTTCTTTTTGTTAATAATATACTCAAAATGTTTAGAAAACTTATAAAATTTATTTTCATACGCCATAACTTCTAATCAAAAAACAGAATTATCATTTGAAATACAGTAGAGTGCAAAAATAATTGCCGATAGACTTTTCAAAGTTCTTCTCAGAGAAGTATCAGATATTATGATTTATCAATGTTGTTGTACTACCCAGATACTGTACTATACAAATATATTAATCATTAAAACTTTCGCATTCTCTATGAGTTTAAAGAAGATAATAATCTTACGTTCTTGGAAAGAATAAAAAAAATTACAAGTTACGCATCAGTTTTAATCCAGTTGTCGGGTCAGAATCTTTTTGATTCATCAATATCTTAAAGTTTTTCATTCATATCAATTGATTGAATGGTCTGGAAGAATAATTTAACTAGATTCAGACTTGTGCTATTAAGTAGCCAAACGATAATTTTACCTATTTAAGGCTGGTCGATCCTATTGTTAGCCTTATTATAACACAGTGTTACGCTCCTCAATCTTGAAAATTTTATCATAACTAATGTGAATAAGGATCATCGTTATACAGTAGTTTCAAACTTCTTCTCGATAATCATTACTTCAATTATGTAATATGATTTATTGGTCAGATCAGATGCACGTAATGCTTGAATGATAAGTCATTTTTGGGCAAATGCATAACAGTTTTCGAGCAATTGCCGTCTCATTGAATGCACCAAGGCAGTACCTAATACTTGCACATAACTCGAGAAAAATCGCTCGAAGAACGTACGAAACAGTTTTAAAGAAAGTCAATACACTAAACGGCAATTTTTTTTGCACTCTACTGTATATATAATTTGTTTTTGCATGTATCATCAATACATTCTAGTGTCGTATATTTGATAACATAGTGATTCATTCTAGATACTCTAAACATCGTATATAATTCTCAATAGAATACTGACTTCTTATTAACATGCATGAAGGCATCACTATCCGTATATTAACTGATCTCGAAAAATATATCTGACAAGTAAATTAATACATAGGATACCATCAAAATTTCAATATAGTTATAGAGTAAATATAGAATTCAATTTAATTTTTATTTTCCTAGTTGGATCGATTTCATGAACCACCAGCTTATGGTGCAATGTGTGATTTATTATGGTCTGATCCAGCTGAAGATTATGGAAATGAAAGTGGATCATTAACATTAGTTGCAACACGTCGTTCAAGTGCTCCAGTACCTTCACCAACAACAACAAATACATCATCAGCATCATTATATCTACCGAATGCAACACGTGGTTGTTCGTATTTTTATACATATGCTGCTGTTAATGAATTTTTAATACGTAATCAGATACTTTCAGTAATTCGTGCACATGAAGCACAAGATATTGGTTATCGTATGTATAAAAAATCTCCTGATACTGGTTTTCCATCATTAATAACATTATTCTCAGCACCAAATTACTGTGATGTTTATCAAAATAAAGCAGCTATTATGAAATATGAAAATAATGTTGTTAATATTCGACAATTTAATTGTTCACCACATCCATATTGGTTACCTAATTTTATGAATATATTTACATGGTCATTACCATTTGTTGGTGAAAAAATAAATGATGTTCTATTAAAAATTCTTAATATATGTACAGATGAAGAATTAGCTTTATATGATGAACATATTGATTCATTAATTGAACGTAATCAAATGGAACAACGTAAAGAACAAATACGTTCAAAAATGCGTGCTGTTGGTAAAATAGCTAAAACATATCAAACATTACGTGAATTAAGTGAAAATGTTGTTACATTACGTGGTTTAACACCATCAACTAGTCTTACTGAACTTGATAAAGATATAACAGAAGAAGCTGAAGTTGCAGCTTCAATACTACGTGAAAAACCAAAATCAACAAAAGAACGTTTTTCAAAAGTAAAAATACTTGATCAAGTTAATGAACGTATGCCACCATCAAAAACATCAAAATCAGTAGGTGGTCCAAGTGTGGCTGAACGTATTAAAAAAGCATCAAATGTTAATCAAACATCAGAACCAATTAAAAAAGAAATGCCATCAAAAGCATTTACAGGTGTAACAACACAAGGTATGGTTAAAATGAGACGTGAAAGTTATGCTGGTGTATCAAGTACAGCACGTAGACGTTCACCAACACCAGTTGTAGATTTACCAACAGTTGTTAATGGTCAACCAACAACGTCATCTAAGAAATAATTTTCATTACCGGCGGGCCCGGTTTTATCTCTTGTTCAATTCTTTTTTTTTTCTTACCTTTTTTCCTTTTCTTTTTAATATGACTATTTTTGTTGCATTTGCACTATTTTAAACCCTTATATTTATTTTATGACAATAATATATATATATATATATAAACATATCTAATATATTGTTCTATTTGTCTCTAAAAAGATTGTTGTGATCATAATATTTACAGAAATTGTCTGATGTCAGTCGTTTTATCAGATTCATAATTTTCATCTAGCACAATACTTATGTGACAGTCACTAAGACAGTCTATCAAACTAAAAAATATTGTCTTATAATGTCGATTGAGATCAAAATGCGAGCTCAATCCTATTTTAACCCTTTGTTACCGTTCTCATTTTAAAACTTCGTTACTATTGTGGAGTCCACCTGGACCCACGCATAGAAAATAACAAAAAATCGATATTATTATTTTATCCAAGCTATTAATGTATGTACTATAGACTTATAAATATTCTTCTTATAGAGACTGATATGTCAGTTTCCATGATGGCAATATGAGAGTATACAATGTCGAAAATACGTGACTGAAACCGTGTTTATAACAGCATTAGAAAATAATTCAATAGATAATAGATTTCATCACTTTAGTCTAGCAAAGAAGAAACACGCCCATATATTAACATACACAGTTGTCTGTAGATAAAAATGGGACATGTTTCCTTTTGATTTATCTTTATTTTCGTCTTCTTTTTTTTTCATGATTATAAAAACCTATAAAATTGAAGTTTTTCTATCACCATAACCCACATTCAGCTTCAGCAAGTCCAAAGATATTATCTATAACATCATTATTGTTGTGGGATCCAAGTGGACCCAGCCCTGCATTTTCTTCCTCTTAGAGTTATTCACAATTTCTAGTAAGGATATTATACAATAACAAGAGACAAGCGATTAGATAAAACAAATGATCCGAAATAACAAATGCTAGCGTAGTACTAGATGAAAAACCGTATAGTGGGTCCATTTGGACCCACAACAGTAACGAAAGGTTAATTGATTTTTCTTCTAGAAACATCTTTATTGTCAATCATTATTTGAAGATATTATTCACAAAATAATTTTACATTAGTTTGTGTCCTAGACGAAAAAAATTTCAAATGGTTCAGATAATTGTCTATAGATAAGTATTAAAATATTGAATCATTCGAATGGAATTTTTGAAGTAAATTCATTTACTAAAAAATATGAATATTGACAGAATTACATATAACTTGGAATGCAACATGAAGAAATAATCAGAACTTAATTTCAATATGCATAGCCGAAAGTCTTGTTTAATATAATCGAGAATTTTGAATTATTTGATACAGAGGATTGACTATTGTATCAAAAGTTCATGAAACGGCGAGGCGAAATAATGCCGTTTTCCTATCCCCTCTCCGTGGATTTGAAATTTTTTTGTCGGAATTGAGTCAAGGATGATTTCTGCCCTAGTGAATTACTCACTGAATGAGTACTCGTGATAAAACCTGACGAGGAAACATATCCAACTGTCAGACCCCGCAGATCTCATTGTCACAGAGGTATAAGAAAATTAGATTTTTTCTTTTTACTTCGAGAAGGTAAGTACTTAAATTTCGTTTGATACTATGAGCTTGGTTCACATTGAGTCAAATATTTTTATTTATTTATTTGAATAGAAAGATGATATTTAGAAGTTGATCTCTTTGGTTCATTCAAGAATTTTATATTAAATAAATAATAACAAAAAAAAATATCGATTAAATATTTTATTTAATTTTTCTAATCTTACTGATATAATATTTGTTTTCATATTGATTAAGTTAGCATTTATCATAATAAACATTAGTATTTTCTTTGTCTTCTTAAAAAAGAAATACAAAACATTATGAAAAAAACAATTGTGAGTACGTTAATCATCTAAAATCTTGTTGAATTTTCATTTCCTTCGTCCCACAAAAAAAAACCTACTAATTGATTGAGGAAAGAATTGGTTTTTTATATGCGAGAAAAGTCGGAGTATCATTTTTATTTAAAATAATATTTTTCATTTATTAACAAATCTTTTCTTTCGATTTTAAAAGAATTTTTAATCTATTAATTACTCGCATATCATATTAACAAGAAACATTTTTATAAAATGTAAAAAAGACAATAAATTATTATTATTATTATTATATAAACATCTTTTTGATTCAGCGTTTGATATGAACTATCATGAGAGACTAATTACTATGTTTAAAGCGCCTAGACGTCTGCCACATGGAATAAATCTAATTATGTTATATCGATTGATTTGAAATGAAGAAATTTCATTTATCGATAAACTTAGTCGTATAACATAACTATCAAAGAAAATTTAGTGTTTTGTTTTAAGATATAACATATTTGAAATATGTCTCAGGTATGTTGAATATCATAATAATAATAAATTAATATTTTTCTTTGTATTATTCAGCTAGCTGACAATGAAACTATATCAACTACTTCAATTGAAACATCCAAAATATATAAAGGAACAATTGTAAAATACGTTTATGGTCGTAAATATGGTTTTATAAAAATGTAAGTTTCAATCATGTAAAAGAACCAAAGTTATAGCTCAATATCACATTAAATAAAATAAACTACAGTGATTTAACATCAAATTCAGATTGAAAACTTGATTGTTTTTTAGTTTTTGCTTTCTCTCATTTTTTTCAAGTACTAAAAGATATTTTTTTTATAAACTACTCATAAAGCTAATTCATTGATCTGTTAAAATTATTATACCATTAGGTGTTCTCTAACAAACGCTCAAATATGATGACAAAATGATAAGAAGTCTCTCAGTCTGGATTTGATGTCAAACCACTGTAGTATATATTTTAAAATAATAAAATCTAATTTTATGTTTACATATTATAGTTCAAATTTCGAAAAAACAGAAAAAAAAGAAATTTTCTTTCATAAATCTCATATTATCAAAAGCAATTTTAAACCTGAAGTAAAACAAGGTGATAAATGTCAATTTGAAATCGATGAAGGTAATTAATTTAATGTCATATTTTACAAAATTATTTTTGTATAATAGGAATCAAAGGAAGTATTGCAAAAAATATTATCATCATTTATCGTCCAATACATAAGAATACAAAAAATATAAAATACACTAATATAATGCAAGAAAATGAATTCAAAGCAAAATTATTTATTGAAACAATGTAAGTGTAGATATTACTTTATTCATGTTTTTTTTTATTATAAATTTTCTAGGTTGGAATTGTTTCGTCTTGCAAAGAGAGACTGATACATAATAAAAGTTATTTAATCATCAAAAATAATAAAAGAATTTTAAAAGACAGATAATAACATGTTAAATTTTTTATTAATAAAGAAAGAACACAAAATAAATTAAAATATAATTTACAATAGTTGAGATTGATATTCGGAAAAATAATAATGAATATTTTCAGGTAGGTTATATCCGAGGAAAATATTATTTAAATTGGAAAAAAACATATTTCCATATCTTTTATAGACAACTGAAGAATTATTTATTATATTAATTTTATCAAAATTTTTTTCCAATTTGATAGTTTTACATTTCTGTTTAGTTTATATAGATAACTTTTTAGAATTTTCTTTTTGTCATATCATTTTGAAACGATGAAACTTTCATAAAAAAAATTAAAAAAATTGCGCGTTATTTTTCTGAGTATCATTAAAAATAATGCAAGTGTTCGTTTACAAGGAAAACTATCAATAGAGGCAAGATGATAAAAAAAAGAACTGAGGTATTCGGTCAGACTGGCCACCCAGATCATAAGAAAGTAATTTTAATTGCGAGTACAAATATCATAATTGAGAAAGCAAGTAATGTAAGAAAAATGATTGAAATATATAAATAAACAAAATTAGATAAAATAATTTAGGTGGTTACGATATCGAAGAATTTTATCTTCTATTTGTTAAATCTTTTTTTTCCTAGAATAGAATTTTTCCTTTCCTTTAGTTTCTATTAACAACGTTAAATTTAATACGATACTTTAACAATTGAATATATTATTTTGTTTATCTTAGTCAAATAATATAAACCTTTTTTTTCTAAATATGGTAATAACGACATGATAGTAAATCAAGAACATCAAGAAAAAAAAAACTTTTAATGATATTGATTAATTTTAAAAGAACTGTTTTTTTTCAAAACTATCAACGATTAAGATTTCTTTTGAATAATACAAAGTTAACTAAGATATAAAAAAAAACATCAAAAACTAAATCGTTATTATCAGTTTGTTTTATTTGAAACATGACTTAAAAACTTGTCTATAACTGTTTATAAAATTCAATTACTGATAATGTAACATTTGCATACTTTTTACTTTTAACTAGAATCGTGTTACCCGATTTATAGAAGATTCATACTTTTAAATCAATAAATGATGAGTGAAAAATATTTAATTATAGATATACTATCACGTGTTTAGAAAAAATACAAGTTACAGTAGATCGAAACAACAATATTTCATTTTAATCTAAACTCGTTTTCTCGAAATTATTGCTTCGCACTGCATGTCGTATTCGGGTTATTCTCGAATATCATCTAGTTTTGTGACGCGATGATCTCAAAAATGGAAACCAGAAAACAGTTGTTCAAGCGTAAAGTAAAAGTGTCGAGATCGAACCGAAAGCACCTGTTTTTAAATTTTCATTATGAGGGTTCGTTCACATACAAATAACATCTAGAAAACACAAATCTTTTAGGATTTTCTCAGTTTTTCATACTCTGTTTGCATATTTATTAGACAGCTGTGAATACAATTAATAAGAGATAATGAAATATTTAGACAATAAGCAATCAATCGACAAAGTTCTTTAAACGCCTGTTGAAATGCGTTGATAGAACTTTTGTTGTAGTGAATTTCATTATAGGTACTTTTCAAAAAGTTATTCCTTTTTTTATTACACACATAATTTTTTTGCAGTTCGAAATTCGTGCTTTGCACTCTGAGCTAAGCTCGAATGTCATCTAGTTCTTTTATTAGACTTAAAACATTCAATTCACGTCTTTCATTCGTAATAAATAAAAATCAATACTATTTTTACGCATTGAATAAATACAAGGTTGACTTTGTATATAAATAACGTTTCTTTTCTATTACTATTATTTACATTTACCTTTCGATTAATCATGGTAAGCATAAGTCCTGATGTTGAATATCTTCGAGAACGATACAATATTGGCAAGAATAATAGCTATGAGCTTATAATTCAATATCACACAGTACTTCAGGATGGTACTATATTAACAAAAGACGAAACTCAAATTGAACCTATGGTTCAAATTAATTTTAATATTGATCTACAATATCCTTATTTTACATTAGTAAATTTTCATATTTGTTTTCTTTATTGTCATTATCTATTATTTTTATATCTAGATTATGGTTGATCCGGATGCTCCTCAACGAGGTAATGAACATGCTGGTCCATGGTTACATTGGATTCATTCTGGTTTTATAGGAAATGATTTAAGCCAGGGTAGAACTCTTGGTATATTATTTTCATATTTATAGAAAATTATAACCTATTAAATTTTACATTTATTTCATAGCTGA